ATGTATACCTTGTTATATACAATATCAAATAAAGAAATGATGTTTACCTACTGGGGAAACCCAAAAAAAAAAAAAAATTATTAATAAAAATAAAAATTTTTAATTATTATTAATTACTATTTTAATTTTAATTAAAATATTATCAAAAATAATAATAATAAAATAATTGATTATTGAATTGTAATATGTTATTGGTTAAAATTAAAATTAAAAATAATTAATATTAATACATGTTACAATAGATTACAATTAAAATTATACTTATAAAAAACAATAATATAATAATAGTAAACTTTGATTTATTAAAGTTATATATTTTATATTTAAATAAACAACAACAATCAATATTTAATTTTAATGATTTTATTTTTGCTTTTTAAATTTTATATCTTGAAAAATATATTATTTAAAAAACAATCATATAAATAAAATGTATTAAAAAAAAGTATATGAAATATGTTAAATATAAAAAAGATACAGTTTATTGAAATTAATACCATAAATATTTTTTATCCATTTATTATAATCATCTACATTATATTGTATATACGTGTATAAAATTAATTTTATAATCAACTATTTATTATATTTTTAAAAAGATTTTATTTTATTTCATTTAAAATACAATCCATAATTAAAAGCATGTGTTGTTTTTACATACTGTATATTGCGTGATATTATTAAACACGTTATTTTTTAGTATATTATTAAATAAAATTGAAATTGTATTACTTAAAAAATAAAAATTTTACTGATTATTTAATTTTAAAATTTTTTTATTTAATAATGCTACATTGAACGAACAAGATCCTGAACATTGTCAGTGATTTAAACGAAAATGACTTGATTTAAATCTTGCATTGTAAAACTACCGACTATTACTAACACTATCAAGGTGTCAGATTGCGTTTAGCAAAATGTCTATTCATAACAGACTATTTGTGATGTATAATTTATCATTATCGTACTATATGTCTACATAAAGTCTTGTTTAGGCACACCTTATTCAAAATTAATGATTGCTTCATATTTAATGTGTTAAGCTCGTTTCGTTTATTTTTTTCATCCGTCCGCAATAAAAGCGTAAACCAACCACGCATATTAGCCGAAGTCAAAAGATATTCAACTAAATATTACATATATTTATACAAAACCAAAATAAAGGCAAAATGAAATAATAATAATAATAATAATAAAGAATGCACCTTTCTTTCTCATCTAAAAGCTTTCTATCGAACACCATCAAGAAACCAATTCTTCGTAACCAAAAAAAACAGAGTATATACACAGAGATTAACTAAAGCACTCTTGCGAAAGAGACATTAATTCCCTTCTTTCCGATACTTTGTACAAAATCCGATAACTCGTCTAAGGCATCCTCCATCATGGGTTCTATCACCACATTTTTCAATGGATTGCACACAGCATAGCTCTCAATTGCCCTAAGGTAACTAAGAGCAAGACCCGAAATGTCTTTGATATACAAAGTCGTCAATGATTTAGATGATGAATCGTTATAGTCTACTAGAAATTTTTCAAAAGATTCTATGCTAAATTCACAGTTGAAATACATTTTCTCAAGATTAGAAGGAAGAAATTCGCCTAAAATTCTTAACAAGTCGGATGAATAATGGTAGTCAGAAGATTCAATAGCGAATTGCCTTATTTTGGACTCTTTTAAATAATCTAAAAATATGTCGCAGTCTTGCTCATAATATAATAGTGTGAATTTAGCCAAGTTCGGACAAAATTTGGTCAACGACGTTAATGTTTTTTCGGATATCTCATCGGTGCGCAAGTCCAATAATGTTTTTCCTGCCTTTTCGATGAGTGCTGGTAAAAATATATCATCGATAAAATCATTTCCGTCTAAAGTCAAACTCTTGAGTTGAACTGGTGATTGCAAAAACATTTCACAAGTACCCTTTGTAGTTCCATAACAATTATGCATGCCAATGGTTTCTAGCTTTGTACATCCCGCAATTCGATTCAGATTGATGTTTGAGAAATTGATGTTAAGTAAAGAAAGCGAATTTAGAGATTCTTTCTGAGAACTTAAAGCTGTTATAAATCTTCCCGTTCCGTTCGTGTAAGAATCACAAATGTCCAGCGAAAACTTTTTTAGATTAGACTGCACAGTTATGATGTTAATCAATGAGCCTATGATTGCAGAATCCGGATAATCGTCAATCTCATATTCTAGTTCTTGAAGATTGGTGCATAATTTCGACAAATTTCTCAATAATTCTGTAAGGTTTGGAATTGGATGTAGTAGGCTCACACTAATTGCCAAATTGCGTAATTGTGAAAATCCGGGTTGATAGGATGAAAATGAGACGCCACCCAGAATATCATAGGAAAATGGAATGCCACCAAGACTATCGTAGGAAATAAAACAATTGGAGATTTTGGCCTCTCTTAAACGACTAGTTCTCAGGATCAATCGAAGAATAGCGGTCATGATTCTTCCGAGCCTGTCAACACATTCATCGCGTGGTATTTCAATTTGTTCACCATGTCTAATCCAACTCTCAACTATTATTGTCGCTATATCTGTGAATGACAATTTCTCTAAATACAAAGAATATTGAAACAGTGGTTTTGGAAGGTTGTGACGACTATCATACGGGTGTATTATTTCTTTTTCGACCTCATCTAACGACGCAATATATGTTCTACACAAACTATGCGAATTACTGCTGGCACGTTTGCCGATACGTTGAAAAGAGTTAAGCCGCGAGTTGTTAATAGGTTGAAAAGGACTACGCCACAATATAGGAACCACTAGCCAACACCAAAAACGATTGACAAACATACACTTGTAAAGTGTTGAATATTCATCTTCCAAATGCAAAAATATTTCCTGAAGACATTCACACGGAAGGTCTTCAAAAGTTTTCATCGCTTCGCTGATATCCTAAAATAGCTGTCTATGTACGTAAGCGGATTTATACTGTATTGCGGATGTATCGTTGTACAATACAATATTTCGATCCCGTGGTGCGATATACAGTATACTGTACATGTGGAGGAATTATCATAAAAGGAAATTTGATTGACAATAACATAATTTAAAATAAAAATTTTTATTTTTTTTATCACGAATGAGTATTAAATGCAAGATTTTATTTTAAATATAAATTTTTATTATTACATTAACAATCTTTACAAGGTAGATAAATTAATTGTAGCCTATCATAACTAAACTATTGATATCAGGTATCACCACGAGGAGTGGATTCTTTAAAATAAAAATTTCTTTTTTATGTTGTATATACAGTATATAATCTTGATTTCAATTTAATAAAGAATAATTGTTATTATTTTGTTTATAATGTTAAAGGTCAATTATTTAATTTTGCTTAAAAGAATTTACAACAATGTCTTGATATAAAATTGATGCAAGATATTGTATAAATATAAAACTTTTTTTTTTTTTTTGCTGCAAACAAGCATTAAATGTGAGACATTTATTAAACATAAGTTTATCGTCATTACATTAAGAATCCTACATCACCTCATTTGGTGGAAGTTAATCCTAGCCTATCACATGAAAAAACCTTTAATTCACGAGAACACCAAGTAGGTGGTAACAAACTATCGGTGGTTCATGAATGGCTAATGCTTATTCATAAACAGCTAAGTTAAGGTGGATGGGAATATTTTTTTTAGTAGTATAGAAGATTTTTGGGAATTTAGTCTTGATTTAGTAAATTTTTGTTAAGTCTTTGTGTGATATTGTTGTTGTTGTCATTCCTAACAGATTAATACCGGTTTGGTTCTTGTTGGATTAGAGTGTCAAAATTGAATTGGCTGTTGGGATTGTGTAGATCGTTTGGAGGGATTGAACTGGTTTTGATTTTTGATTTTGAAAAAATTTTTGATGTCGTTGAGGTGGCACAGAAAAGCGTACCATGTTGTCATTTGAAAGGGTTTGGTTGAGACAAGTAGAAGGACCCAAAACTTTATTTGAATGTACTTTTAGAAATAAATTGGTGAAGTTGAGGATGATGAGGAGAATGATTATCATGAGAATAATAAAAAAGGAGGTGCATAAAGACAAAATTAAGAAGGAGGACTGCCACAGGCCTTTCCCCATGCAACCAAAGAACAAGCAAGACTCCCAAACTTGTTTGGCCTTTGACCAGAGGTCCCATCCCAATGCAACAGTGGTCCTTAAAGTCCTTATGTCCTTGAGCTTATGGCATACTTGGCATATTGAAGAGAGAGAGTAAAGCGTTTCTTTCAAGAAAATTACCATAAAAGGAAATTTTCAAGAAATCAGTGGTGAACGGGTGAAAGTTTTTTTTTTTTTTTTTTTTCTCACAGGTCATTTTATTTTATTAAATATATATATATATATATAATTTTTAAATATTTATTTGTTAAATTAATAATTTTCTAAAAAAAATTTTTTTATAATATAAATAAATTTGATTTTTAATATATTGTACTTATTAAAATTTAACTTATATTATTTATTATTTAATAATATACTATATATATTGTTGTAAGGAAAAATGATGAGTAGACGATAAGAAATTATAAGGGTAAGTATATCAGGTATAAATGGTATATCAGGTATAAGTGGTATATTAAGTATAATAAATATAATAGGTATAAAATAAAAATGTATATAAGTGACCTGAAAATATTCAAAAAGTAAATAAAAATCATTTTTATTTGATAAACTATTAAATTAATTTGGTTTTAGAAAGTATTAATAAAATAAAAGATAAGAGAAATAAAAAAATTATTAATTACAATATTATATAAACAAAAAAACAAAAGTAATATTAATTTTTTTTTTATAAAACTCTTTTCTGTACATAACTTTTTTCTTAAAAGCTTTTTTTTATAGTAATTTTTCTTCAAAATTAAAGAAACAAATATTTTTTTCACTTTTTAATATTCAAAAGTTCTTCACACTTTCTCTTTTTTCACTACAAGAGCCTCAAGGAAATTAAAGAAGTATACTGGTACATCAGGATGAGACCTTTGGCCAGAGAAAAGAAGTTTGGAAATTTTGCTTTTTTTTTTGGATTGCATGAGGAAAGGCCCGTAGCAGTTACTTCTTTATAAATCTTTCTTGGAGTTCTTCTCATTTTTTTTTCTTTTCAATACACAAATTTTTTTAAATAGCTATACTTTTTGCTTGGAAAACTTCCTTTTATCTCATAAAACCAGACTTCATATCAAAATTGTTTATATTGTTGACTTGGAACACCAGCAATATATTTAATGTTTACTTCTCACTATCACCCAGCATATTTTGCTGCACCACCAAAAATCAGAAAATCTTACTTAAAAAATTTCTTATCAAAAAACCACAATCAGTTTACTCCTGTCAATTAATCAACATTTCAAACTTAACCAATCAAATGCCATCAATTTTTCAAACAAATCTGTATAACCAAAACATTACACTTTGATCGATGTAAACAAAATCTTTTATGGTGACAACAACCAAAACAAAATCACATTACCAATAAACAAACCAATCACAAATCACATTGCCACAACAACAATACTATCACCACAACTAATTATCTACCAAAAAGATATAGCATTAACACTATTGTATACTTTGGACAGTAGTCTGGTCATTTCTGGAAATGCATCAGTACTTCAGTTAAATGGAACTACTAATGTGATGTGCCTAGTGGCATTTATAGCTTTACAATTAGTGTTTTTGTATTTATTTTTTTTGTTTTTGTTTAGTATTTTCTTTTTTTTTTAATTTTCAATTTCTTATAGTTTTATATATAAACTTGAGTAAGTATTTATAGCTGCTTGGCACTATTTAGGATGTACATCAGTTTTAATATTTATTTTCTATGTTGCTTAGATAGTTTCTGTAGGCAAGCTAGTATTAGACTTATTAGCTTAGCAAGTTACTGTATATAAGAAATGTTGTCACTTTCTTCATGTATAAATTTTAAACAATTTTACAATTAATAAAGTGATAATGTTTACCTACTTTAAAAAAAAAAACAAAAGTAATATTAATATATGCAAATTTATCAATTGATGATAATATAATTATAAGGACTTTACAAAAACTTTATGAAATAAAACAAAAATAAAAAAATAGATAAAAATATAATATGGTCAAGATTTTACTAAAGTAAACTATAGTAATAAACTGTAATAATAAACTCAAATTCTTTAAGAAATAAAGAAAAAAAGGATACAACTTTATTTATCTTCAAGATTATATTTAAAGATAAATAATCAGTAACAAGGATTAAAAAATTAATTTAGTTTATATATAAAAGTTTTGAACTAATATGTTTTTTTTTTTCCAGTAGGTAAACATTATTTCTTTATTTGATTTGTATATTTAAAAAGTATATATCATAAAAGAAACAATATCTCTTATATACAATAGTAGCAAGTTTAATACTAGCTTGTCTACACTATCTATACTTAGCTAATATTGAAAAAGAAAAATTTTAAAACAATATTGTATGTAAAGATGGGTTTCTAAATTGAAGGTAAGAACATAATTCAAATGTTCCTCACTATTAAAAAAGTTTTTTTTAAAAATATAAGGTCAAAAAAAATATACAAAGGTTTTTTGCAATTTAGGCTACTTGATCCAAGTGTTTTTTTAATTATGTCCCTATTAAAGTAATAAATAAATAA